AAAAACAAGCCTGGTTTATATATAAAATGCATTAGTTAATCGATTAAAAATAATTGCTCCTCCCATAATCCAATGGAATCTGGACAAATCAACTAGGAATTAATGTAATACTTTGCCAAACTGATCAAATAATTAATGTGTATAAAACTTACCCTAAATAAAAATAGGATTAAACAACTTCAAAATAATTATTTATAGCCATTAATTAATTATGTAATCCCACAACATAGCCTCCCACGATAATTAGATTAATTCTAGTGTATGTAAGATCTATTATTTACAAGGAAAAATGCATGAAAATAAAATCAACACCCTTATACTACGTATATCGCCGGACATATAATTAATGTTGGCATTATATCCACCAATAATTGATGTAATTAAAGGATACGTAGTACTAGCAAAGTAAAACAAAATTGAAGGCAGTTAAAAATTAGGTAATGTAAATTGAATGCGAGGCTAATTGTGTGGATCTTTCGATCTTGTCGTTATCCAATTACTTAATTTGCATGGTTATGGATGCCAGCCACACAGATTTAGAGAACAAAACAAAATTCCACCGGGCAATAAATTTTTCATCAGCCAAGCACATGCAATTGTTCACCAAAGCACACCTTTCTTCCAAATCTTAACACTTCATTTCTCTGCTCTCTCTAACTTGGGTTGGCCCCATCATCTTTACATTATGTGTTCGTTGCCTATAACCCAGATCTAGATTATTCATTTTATAAAGCAACTTTCTGACATCTGTATTAGTGGAATACAAATAAGTACCATTTGATAAAATAAAAGAAAAAATACATTCGTACTCTAATAATGATTAAGAAGCTTTTTAGATGATGGTCAAAAGCAAAACTGTGAGGGTTTAGGTCTAAAACGGACAATATCTTATCATTGTCGAGTTGTGTATGAAATAATCTTTTAAAAAAAACTTTCATAAATAAGCCTCACATCTTATAAAACAAGAGAGAGAAAAAAATAACAATTTATAAAACACACTCATACTCCAATAATTGAGAGACTTTTGGATGATGACCAAAAGTAAATGTGTGAGAGTTTAGGCTCAAAATAGACAATATCTCATCATTGTAAAATTATGTGTGAAATAATATTTTAAAAATAACCCTCATAAAATATCTTCTCAAACAAATATCATAAAATAACCTCATCATATATCATAAAATCCTGTCGACGATAATTTTTCAGTTGTCCAAACCAGAATTCCACGTACTGCACAGTCAACATGCACTTATGAAGAACTATAAAACACAACCAACCCCTAATAAAAACTTATGGTTCAATTTTCAAACTTACATTAACTAATTGGGACACTCCTTTCACAGTCAACTATATATCATGTCACATATTTTGTTGTATAAATATCGTTTCCAAAACCTAATCTAACTTGCATGTAGTGGAGAAAATGGCATATATGAACCGATTATTTCAATTTCCAGTTCACATATTAATTATTTTTTGTTAGTATTAAAAATGCTTTCTTTACTATTTGTCAATAAGTTAATTCTCTTGGTACTGTATAAAAAAAGAGTATTAAGATAGATGATTATTTATTTTTTAAAATTTTTATTCATATTTTATGTTGTTCTGGATATTATTTGTGAGACTCCAACATGTTTCACCTAGAGTACATGAGTTTAAACATATGGTCGTGTAAATCTTAGGGAGCAAATCGATTATTGAGTTGCAGAAACCCACCGAGAATTTGCTTTCAGGATAATAACTTTTGTCACGATACAGTATTTTCTTTTATTCTTTTATACTAATATTTTCCAACAATCTAAAAGCAAATTATTTATCTTTTTAATGAGTTTGTTTTTTATGAAATTGATTTGATTAATGTATTAAAACTCAAAATTCTTGATAAAACCAACAAGGGACAAACACAAAGATTGTTAATATTTTCTAAACAATCTGATTGACAATATTTTGAAGACGAACCAACAATTCGTTTGAGAAAATAATGAGGGAGTAAAATCAAATTAATTGAAAACTATCAAAAATATTGGTATCTCATATTATCTTTAATTGTATATAAAATTTGTTATTTGATCTCTGCATCAAACAATTTACAAAATGTCTATGAGAAAAAAATAAAAAATAAAATAAAATGTGGTAAAAAAATAAATAGGTAATAATATCTAATATGTAATTAAAAGGCTACTTAGAAGGAAAAAAATGATTTGTTTGCAATGTCGTTTTAATTAGTCACATATGTTAAGAATTTTGTTTTGATGGTTGTTTCTTATACAGTATATAATCAAATTTACTTAGTATTTGTTAAGTAATCAAATTTTATGCATGACCCAATGAAAAAATCAATTATTATTATTTTTTTTATTAATTTGATGAGAAAAATAAAATTGTAGATTTAATCATAATAAAAATATTGAAGATACATACATTGTCATATGCTCAAACGTACACAACTAATATGTATAAATAATGTATAAAATGAAGGTGTAAAATTATTGTTACTTTAGAGGTTATTTTGTTATTAACTATAAAATAGAATATAAAGTGCTTATGAGATGAAATGATTTGTTAAAAGAAAATATATGCATGATAGATCAATAAAAAGAATTTACAATGAGAACCAAAATATTATTTCATATCAAGACAATAACACAAAGTTTGTAAGCTTAGATTGAATGGTTTAAAACAAATATATATAAGTTATGGTATGAGAAGTTCAATAAACACTTTTTGTTTCTGTGTATATAAAAATGATTTTGTGATGTCATGCAATAATTTGTTGTTATTTGACGTCTAATTGAAAGTGGTGATTAAAATTAAAGAGTTTTTAAGTTATAGTTTGAGATGAAAGACTTCAGATAAAAATTATGTGATTTTAGGTATTAAAATATAAGAAAAAAATTGAAAATAGTTTCACTCTAAGTGAAATTTATTATATTTAAAAATTTATTAAAGAAATTTCAATAATTTCAATGTTGCATATGATAGAGCATTATATGTTCATATCAATTCATTTAAAAAAAATGATAGAATGTCATTAGAAGGGGAACCAATATTTCTTAATCTGAATAAGAAAAATTAATTGGGGGTGTTATATATGTATCTAATAAATTACTTTATAATTGATATCACATATGTTGTAAGTAGATTGAGTAGATACATTCATAATTTAAATGATGATTATTGGAATGTTTTTACATCTTTTAAAAGTATATAAAAGTATCGTGACTTGGAGTTTAAAGCTTATAAACTTTCCAACTGTCTCAAAATGGTTTTGTGATACAATTGGAGTTCAAAAAATGATGAGATAAGTATATATATATTCACTTTTGGAGGTGGTATAATTTCTTAGAAATTAACAAAACAAACATGTATAACATAATTTACAATAGGATTAGAATTCCTAATACTTAAATGTGTAGATGAATAAACATAATAGTGAAAGAGACCTAATGACTAATATACTATTATATATAGGAGACATCTACATCTTTTGTATATCCTTTCATTATATAATTAATATGTTGTAATTATTGTAACTAATAGTGTTTGTAATACTGAAACATGGTATTGTCAAAATTTTAATTAAAAATTGTGGTATCTCACACAAGTATATATGTAAAAGGTAAGAAGAATTTTATTGATCCTTTCATAATAGGATTACTCAAAAAAATTATCCTAGATATATTAGGAAATGATCTAAAAGTCATGAGTAGAGAAAAGTATAATGGACACCCAATTAGTGGTCAAACAAAATCATGTGAATACTCTTATGCACTACATTTTTCATTCTTATGACATGTGATAGTGTTTGATATGAGGTTGAGTCATGAGCTCTTAATAAATACATAGTCCTTGATATGAGTGGTGTTATAAAGGCACACTTGAAATATCTACCTATGTGAGTCTAAAGGTATAGGTCACCTTCCAATTTTACATAAAAGACTTTGGTTATCTTTCTAAGCGCTCATGAACAACTTAAGGTGAATATACATATAAATGCTTAAAATACAATATAAAATTTTAGTCATAGAATTATCACGGTTTTAAAGACAAAAGTGTGTATTGTGGGATCTCATCTTAATTCCATTAAATTTAAGAATAATTCATTTTTTAAACATAAGGTGTTGTCTCGTTGCACTATGTGTTAATTCAATCATATTGACATTAACAAGCACAAAAATCTTTTCTTGTATAAAATTTGTTCTTATTCCTCTTTCACTTATCTATTATTGGTGGGAGATTACAAAAATAATAACATATAAGAGTTAATTATTTCAATCTTACTGTTGACATATTAATTAATTGTGTTATCATTGGTATTAAAAATATTTCTTTATCATTTGTCTCTCTTGATATTATATAAAGAAAATATGTCTTTAAGAGAGATAACAAAAAGAGTTAATTATTTTTAAAAACTTTCTTTCATACTTTCTGTTTTTTTTTTTTTCATTATTCATGAGATTTCAACATGTCTCTAGGACAATTATTTTTACCACAATATAATATTCTCTTTCATTTTTTCTACTAATATTTTCTGCAGAAAAAAAAATCCACATGCATGCATTGCCATGTATATCACATGATAACCTAACCTATGAAGTAGACTTGTAGATAACAATAAAGGCATCCATATGATGAAGGAAAATAATTAAATTGCACATAGAGTCGACATAGAGACAAGTTGCAGAAATAGACGTTTCTCTGCTCAACAGACAACTGTTACGGCATATAGGTTGGCAATGGAGAAAGACTATAGCTAGGCCACATGAGACGTACTAGTACCAATTTAGCTATAGCCAAGTGTGAATTGAGAATTCAGAATTGACGCTACCCTAGTTTTTCTTGCAGCTTAAATTTTACTTCTTTGGTACGTGTGAAAGGCAGTGGAATCAAATTAACATGGATGAATAATTGTGTGAAACGAGTGTACATTAAATGCTGCGAAGTGCGAACAGTTAGTAGTTGAAGCGAATTAAAGTGGTAGAAGGGGCCAGCTTGTGACTGTGATGGATATCGATTCTGCGCGTTATAAAAACCTCTTCAAACTGCTGCAAACTACACCAACGAGGATTGCAGAGTTGTGTCAGAGAGTTGATAGTAATTAAAAATGTTGGTAAGGGACAAAAGAGTAGCTTTGCTCTTATTGCTTTGTGCTCATGTTTTTGTGGCCAATGTGGTTGCAAGGAATGTGGCATCTGTGAAAAATGAGGAGGAGAAGAATATAGGGTTTGGGAAGGGAGGTGGTTTCGGTGGTGGATTTGGAGGAGGAGCCGGTGGAGGATTTGGAGGTGGTGCCGGTGGAGGCTTTGGTGGCGGAGCAGGTGGGGGCCATGGAGGTGGAGGTGGTGCCGGTGGAGGCTTTGGTGGCGGAGTAGGTGGAGGCCATGGAGGTGGAGGTGGTGCCGGTGGAGGGTTTGGTAAAGGTGGAGGATTGGGAGGTGGAATAGGTAAAGGAGGTGGAGTTGGTGGAGGAATTGGAAAGGGTGGTGGAGGTGGTTTTGGAGGAGGAGCTGGTGGAGGCTTTGGAAAGGGTGGTGGTGTTGGAGGTGGAATAGGCAAAGGTGGAGGTTTAGGTGGTGGTGGTGGTTTTGGAAAGGGTGGTGGTGTTGGAGGTGGAATAGGCAAAGGTGGTGGTGGTGGTTTTGGAAAGGGTGGTGGTGTTGGCGGTGGAATAGGCAAAGGTGGTGGTGGTGGTTTTGGAAAGGGTGGTGGTGTGGGAGGTGGAATAGGCAAAGGTGGAGGTCTTGGTGGTGGTGTCGGAGGTGGAATAGGCAAAGGTGGAGGTCTTGGTGGTGGTGTCGGAGGTGGAATAGGCAAAGGTGGAGGTTTAGGTGGTGGCATTGGAGGAGGAATTGGAAAAGGTGGTGGTATTGGAGGAGGTGTAGGTGGTGGATTTGGAGGTGGTGCAGGTAGCGGATTTGGTGGCGGATTTGGAGGAGGTTCTGGTGGCGGACTTGGAGGAGGAGGAGGAGGTGGATTTGGCGGCGGCGGTGGAGGAGGTGGTGGCGGTGGAATTGGTCACCACTGAGCCTTGGCGACGTTGCATGCATGACAAAACTTATATTTTTATTTTAACGTCCTTTCATTGCATTAGTCACGTTAATTGGTTTATTGAAAGCGAAAATGTTGTAAGAGTAAGGAGTTAATAATTACTCTCCTTAATAATGTGGGTCATATTATTATTGTATTCTATTTTCTGTAATATTTGCAGTTGAATGAAAGATTCAGAGGGATATATCTACTCTTTTTGTATTCAATCATGAGAAAGAGAAATTACAGGAAAATCACTTTTCAAGTGCCCAACATATATTAATTAATTCCTGCATTTTGTGTTACCTTAACTAAGCTCGTTAACTATATACCATGATTTTATTCAAACGGAATTATTGATGTGATCGACTAATTAATATAATCATGGATTATTATTTAACTTTTTGCTAAACTAAAAATAATTAATTAATAAAATCTTGTCTTTATTATTATAAGAAACTACGTACTTATTCATATAGCAGAGATTCTACAGTATTATTTTACTCTATTTTTTCATCACATTAATTAACTTGTCTTACATATTCTCTTTTTTATTTAATTTCTTCTTATCTTTTTTCTTGTATAAAGTTTTGGACAAACAATACACAATTTATCTTAAAAAAATATGATATAACCTTACTCGAACATCATCTCTCACACGAAAGATACATTTAATGAAAGACAAAAAAATAAATTAAGTGTAAGTACATAATAATATAACATTTTTATTTAAGTGTAATTTTAGTTTAATTATTCTCAAACTTATGATAAATTTATTTTTAATTTTCAAATTTAAAATTAATACTTTTAATCTTGCAATTGTAAAATAAATTGTTTGAGTTCATTTGAGCTACTAATAATATATTGACAAGGACAAATTGAAAATTGTTGTAATGTGATGATTTTAAGCGGGAGGCATTGATGGAATAGCAAGTGATGTGTGTGAATTTGACATAAGGAAAGGCCAAGAAGATGGTTCATATACATTTTCCTTCTCTTTTTACCTGCTAATCATAGATGGAATAACAAAATCTAAGGGTTCATTCCCACATATATATATATATTAAACCTTTGATAATACATACTCAACGGAATCATCTACACTCATTCCATTTCGAAAATGGAAAATACCTGCTGGACATACAATGCTGCACCTTTCCTTTTCATATAACCAAGTAAAGGATTAAGATATTCTGTGCTCTTAATTAAAACTCAATTTATAACTGTTTTTCTCTCAATTGAAAATTTACATTTTAAAATTGTTAATATTACTAAAAGAAACTTAAAAATAAGTCTATCCTAAAAGTTATTATATATATATATATGCTTAAATTTACTGCTGATTCTTATAATATCGTGAATATGTAATTTTGGTTCTCCAATTTTTATTTTTTATTTTTTTATAAATTTAGTTCCTTAATTTTCAAAATTAAGTAATATTAATTCAAAATTATTTATTTATATATAAAATTCATTATCAACTTTAATTATATATACTAACACATTTGACATATTAATTAATAGAATCGAGGTATTTTATGTTTCTATGTTTTATTTAATAAAAATATTTTAAAATTATTAATATTTATTAAATAATCAATAATATACTTGATTCTCAAATCTTAAGATTTTAGATTTATAAATTTAAAAGTAAAATTATTTAAAAAATATTTATATTAAACCAGACTATATTTTTATATATGTTATAATCTTTTTTTAACTATATGTACCTCCTAACTTTACATCTACACGTGAAGATTTTATTTATTTATTTATTTGCATTTTAAATTTGACGTTACAATTTTTCTCTTTCACACCTAATTTGAACAAGTGTTAAATTATTGTCCTCTAACAATTTTTCCTTAAACAATCTCACCTAATTCACTTTACTCCACATTTTAAAATACCCACATAATCCTCACTCTACCAAGTATATATGTTTCATTTTTAAACGAAGATACTCTTATAATTTTTAAAAAAAATTTATTTTAGTTCTTAAAATATAATTTAATAAAAAAATTTATTAAATATTATCGTATAAAATTTATCTACTAATATTTCTGTTAGTTAAAATATCACATTAAATTTAGTCGATGTTATATAACTGTTTATCATTTTCAAATATTATATTGATAATTTGAAGAATTAAAATAAATTTTTTAAAATTACCAAATTAAAAAAAATAATTTTAAATTTAAAAAACTAAAAAAATTAACTTAACGCAGATTTAAGACGTAAAAGTTAAAACTAAAAATTCTAGTAAAAACTATGGAGAAGACGACCTATTCTACGATGAAACATTGAAACATAGATTTCCCCAAAGGCTGCATCTTAAAAAGACTGCCTATATGTCAGTTTTACGTTTTTCTCGTACTTTCTATAAATATTAAGTGACAGTTTATTCAAAAGAAAATGATGAAAAAAATAGAGTGTAAATATTTTTTTTCTCTCAAGTTTATCGTAAGTTTGTTTTTTGTTTTTAAATTTAAAATTATTATTTTTTATTTTTATAATTTTCAAAATTTTATTTTAATATTTTAAATTATCAATATTATATATATAAGTGATAGATTAAAATAATTATGCACCATCAACTGAATTTAATATAATTTTTTATTAATAGATGCCAATGAATAAATTTTATATAATAATATTTAATAAATTTTCTAAAAAAATGTGAGTATAAGAATTAAAATAATTTTTTTAAAAATTATAAGAGTTTAAAAGATCAGTTTTAAATTTAATAAGTTAAAAATAAATTTATCTTATATTTGAAGAACTAAAAAATATTTAAACCTAAAAATAATTAAGTGATATTTAATTTATTATTATAAATCATTTTTCTTGTTTTGGAAAAATCAATATATTTTCTCTCAAAAAAGAAAAGCATATATTTTAATAAAAAGGTATATAGTTAAAATTAATTTTAATAATATTTAGTGATTCAAGATCAATTTCATAAAAATAATTATATTTAATTTTAAATAAACGAGTCTTAAATTTTCTTGCATTTTCCCTACTTTTATTATCCCTTTTAAAAATAATAGAAAAAATAAAAAAGAAAAGACAATAGTAGAGAATTTTTTATTTAAAATTTTGATAATAATAACACATCATAAAAATAAAGTGTATAAGTTTAAGTAAGTAAAAATAACAAAATTATTCGCGATAATTACAAAAATGGTAGATATATAGATTTTGTTAATCAATGTTCTTAGAATATTATTTAAAATATTAATAAATATTTTTTTAAAAATTATGTTAGAGTTACTTTGAAAATTTACATAATAAAAAAAATCACTTTTGATTTGTAAATCTCAAGATATTAATTATATATATAAAAGATGACTGTTAGTAACACACTTTTTTTAAACACGCACTTTATTATTAGTTATAATTTAATAAAAATAAAAATCATAAATTAAATTAGGAGAGCAGTTAATTAGTAATTAAGATAACAAAAATTTTAATAAAATTTTATTTAATATAGAGAGTATTTAAAAAAAATATTAGGAAAGAAAAATTCTATTTCTTCCAAAAAATGTTCTCTGAAAAAATAGTCGGTCCAATAAAAATGTTACATTAGCATGCATTTAATTATAAATTAATTAATTTTAATTTTTTTAAGCTTTTATCTCAGTTCCGAGGATATATCAATACTCCTTAGAAAATGTGTTGTTGTAATGTAAGATTTCTCACATTTACAAATTTTATTATAAAATATCATTTCACATCTTATAAGAATGTATACAAGACAAGAAAGATAAGAATATAAAATTTTAACTTTGAACGTTAAAGTTTTCACTAATGCTTCTATGCACTCTCCATGTAGTAACAATGATTTACATCCCTGTTCCGACTTCGGTCACATCAACAAAGATGATAGAGTGAAAAATATTAGGGTTTTTTCATTTTACATAGTAATAATATTTTGACCTATTTTTCCTGTTAATTGAATTAAAATTGAAAAATGTTGTATCCTTCGAAAAAAAAAAATATTTCGAAATTTGTCCAAATTATTAAAAAATTAATTTAAACAATAAAATAGTAAATTAAATAATTATTTTATAATAAATTTATTAAACAATATTAATATTTTAATCATTGATGCTGATTTAGAATTTGATTTAGAATATATAGCAATGTCATTAAAATTAGACCATAGTGCCGTTATTCTCAGATTTTTTAGGAAAAGTCAGATACATTTTTATAAGAATCAGAATCGGAGTTTTGGTTTAATAATCTAATTTCTAATAGAAAAAGAAAATGTATTTTTTTTATAAACTTTGTTACTCATCTCTGAATATGTATAAAAAATATTAATAATATATTATTCGGAAGATGATTCGACCTCCGAAAAGCTATAGCAGTGTTCATAAAAATATGTGAGAATTTTCACCGAAGCCAATGGAGAATAACCAAGTTAGATTGTCTCATCGTGAAAAGTGTCATTTGCAGAAAGAATATAATATTAATAAAAAATAAAATAAGAAAACTTACCAAACAAGTCGTGTTTTTTTCCGTTTAATTTGGGTAGAAGAGTCAAAGTTGAGGGTTCAGAAATCAGAAGTTAGATATGCATAATTTAATGCACCGTCGAGAATCAGAAAGTATTTGAAGTTGGAGCAGAAGAAGCAGTGAACTAAACTCTATTCATACGGCAACATTGAAAATTACCAAAACAGACAAAAAGGTTGTTGAAAGCATCTGCAGCTTAGGATTCTTGTTTCACAAGAGAAAATAATTTCATGGACACTTTCTTTAACAGGAGTAGGAGGTGGAGTTGCACACTTATTTTCTTTTGTCTTGTGGGCTAAGTCTATAACTTTTTCTGTAATGGAAAAGCTACTTTTATCCCCCTGTCTACCTCTTTTACGTTCTTTTCTTATCATTTCTTCTTCACTCTATGACAAGGGGTTTTCTCACATTCAACTTTAGGTAAACAAATCAAATTATCCTCTTTCCTTTTACAACAGTTCGCCATTGCATTCAGTATATATGGGCATGGGTAGTTTGATCGTTTCTGTTTTTAGTTTTTTATCTTCAAAAATTACTTGTTTTTGCTTCTTAGTTTTGATGATCGGCAAAGTTGGGTATGTAAATGTTGAATTTTGATCAAGTCCTTGATTTGGGTTGGTTGACTTGGTCCTGTCAGGTGTGAGGTCCTCAGTTCTGAAAAATCATGTACTTAAAAACAAGCAAGTGCACAAAAATTGATGTTAAAAGTTGATATAGTAGGACTTAGAAATGCGCATGTTTATTTAAGGTCGTTTGCATATGTTGTTATATGTGTATGACAAGTACACGATGTGAGGCATCTCAAGAGGTAACTTGAAGTGGTTATTCTTATTTTGTTGATAATTTTTCAGGAAGGGATCGAGTGGAATGTTTGAGTATGAGAGCTAAGAGTTTGATAAGTAAGAGGCAGATTAGTATAAGATTGAGAAAAATGATAAAGTGTATATGTTCGGGGGAGCAATTAAGGGTAGATGAATTAAATTACTCATCAGAGTCACTAGCAACGAGGGACTATTCAGCAAGTGGTGGTTATAATTCATCTCGACCAGGTGAAATCGACACAAAGGTGGACAATAGCAACATTGAAGAAGCAGAGTCTTCTCTCCGTGAAAGTGGTTATTTAAACTATGAGGTCAGATTATTTTTTCTTTTTGCATAAAAAAAGAGAGAGAGAGAACAATAATTCATATTAGACATGAAGTTACCATCCCTAACGTGCTCTTATAGTTCTATTCCAATAGAGAATTTTTCAGATATTTTTGTCCTCTGATATATTGAAATCTGAAAACAGTGACATAATGATAGAACGAGAAAAAAAAATGAACTTAACTATTTCAATTTATACTGTTTTGAAACAATTAAAATATAGCAAAATTGAAAATTTTCATTGTGAACAATAAAATCGAGTCCATAAGTTATATGTAAATGGTATCTGCATTTATTGAACATAAGGTCATTTATAGAATGCAATATGTAGGCAGCAGAATCCCCGGACATTTATTTTGTTGCCAATAAATTCATATTTCTTCTGAACAAAAATTGAACTTTCTCAATTTCCTTAGGAAGAGTATTCACGCAAATTCGAGGATTGAAACACCTAATTTAAAGTTTTATTTATCACATTGAGGAAACTTTTTCCGGTGTGGAATATCTGACCATAATTTATTATGGTCGAAGACTTTATGTTAGAGTCTTAATATTATGAATTTCTTCTATAAATGAAAAATATTTTCCCTCCATTACTCGTGTGTTACTCATGGGATTTCAGGCTCAGATATATATCTGAAATTAGACTTAAAAGGGTACAACTACTCTACATGACCTCTATATTCTTTTCTATCATATTTTAGGCCTTTTATGCTCCCATCTTAAGGTGTAATATGTGGTCTTTTTTGGTAAGAACATGGGTCTTATCACAACATCTGATTTTATTGATACTTGAGAAGCCTCTGCTCTATAAAAATGAAACTGAATGACTTTTCAACAATAGGAAGCTAGAGCCTTGCTTGGAAGACTTGAGTATCAGAAAGGCAATATAGAAGCTGCTCTCCATGTATTTGAAGGAATAGATATTGCTGCTGTCATTACCAAAATAAAAGTGTCTATATCTAGAAGATGTGAAACCAATAGACGCCGTTCGCAAAGTGATGAAATGCCTCCTATGTCAGTGCATGCTGTTAGTTTACTTCTTGAAGCTGTTTTTCTCAAGGCTAAATCATTGCAAGCTCTTGGAAGGTTTCAAGGTGTTTCTTTCTCCTTGTTCTTAGTTCTTATTTAACTATATCCATGCATATCATTTTAATTCTTTTGCACTTAATCTTCAAAGTCTCTTGTTTTCGTGGAGATCCTTAAATCTTTTGAACTACGCAAAGATCAATCAACTAGGTTAACAATAATTGATTTTTTTGCAGATGCTGCTCATTCATGCAAAACTATTTTAGACACGGTTGAATCTGCCTTACCAGAAGGGTGGCCTGAAAACTTTGTTTCAGACTGTAAACTACAAGAGACAGTGGCAAATGCTGTAGAACTGCTTCCAGAGTTGTGGAAGCTTGCAGGTTCTTCTCAAGATGTTATCTCATCATTTAGGAGGGCCTTGCTTTATCATTGGAATCTTGACACTGAAGCCAATGCAAGAATACAAAAGGAATTTGCTTTGTTTCTCTTGTACAGTGGTTGTGAAGCAATCCCCCCTGCTCTACGCTCTCAATTGGATGGTTCCTTTGTGCCAAGAAACAACATAGAAGAGGCTGTTCTTCTACTTCTGATTCTGCTGAGAAAATCTGTTCTTGGAAGCATTGTATGGGACCCTTCATTGGTTGATCACCTTTCTTTTGCTCTAAGTGTTTCTGGGGAATTCATGACTCTGGCTCAACAGGTTGAGGAATTGCTTCCTGAAAACATGGAGAGAAAAGAAAGATACTATATTCTTGCTCTTTGTTACTGTGGGGAAGGTGAACATTTGACTGCTTTGGATCTCTTGAGGAACTCTTTGCATCATAGAGAGAACTCAGATTGCATAAGAGAGTTACTTCTAGCTTCAAAAATTTGTGCAAACAACAAGGTTTGCATTGAAGATGGAATCAAATATTCTTGCAAAGCCATTTCTCAGTTGCATGGAAAGTGCATGCAGATGGTAGCTATTGCGAATTGCTTGTTAGGTGTTCTACTGTCAACAAAATCCAGGCTAGCCGCTTCTGAATCAGAAAAAGTTTTGATGCAGTCTGAAGCACTCAGTGCTCTGAAAAATGCTGAAAGAATGATGAGGGAAAGTGATCCTTTCATTGTCCTTCATCTTTGTCTAGAATATGCCGAGCAGAGGAAGTTAAGCATTGCTTTTGATCATGCAAAGGAACTGATTAAGCTTGAGGGCGGATTTAGTGTTAGTGGATATATTCTACTAGCACGGATTTTGTCAGCTCAAAAGAAGTTTGCAGATGCAGAGCTTGTTATTGATGCTGCTCTGGATCAAAGTGGGAAATGGGATCAAGGAGAATTGTTAAGAACTAAAGCTAAACTACGGATAGCACAGGGAAAATTAAAGAATGCTGTGGAGACATATACTTTTCTTCTTGCTGTTCTTCAGGTCCAAAATAAAAGTTTAGGAACTGCAAGTAAGGTTGTGAAGGTATGTGCCATTGATATTCGGAGAATATATTACTTTGATTCTTTAGTTACTCAAATTATCATGGGAAAGGAAGATTAAAAGCTTCAGTTAAACTCTACCTTTTCACTATATATAGGATAATATATTAATTTATAGACTTCTCTTTTGTACAGAATAAAGGAAACCATGACAGAAGACTGGAAATGGAAATATGGCATGATTTAGCCAATGTGTACACGACCTTGTCACAGTGGCAGGACGCTGAAGTTTGTCTTGCAAAATCTGAGGCTATTAATCCCGATTCTGCTTCTAGATGGCACACAAAAGGTATATCGCTTATATTCTATTTTTGCTCCGTAGCCTTCAATAGGTTCTATATGTTAGTTTCTTTTTTGTCAATGATACTTAAAGATATAAAAATCTCAGTTACTGAAATCCAACACTGGAACAAATCTGATGGTGTAGATTGAAGGGTATGAATTTTGTTGTCTTACTAAAGGGCAATAGCTGTGGAACAAAAGTTTTTCTTATTGGATTTCAAGTTGGCCAGAGCAAAGATGCATTGCTATATAGCACGTACCTTTTGCGAATACTTATCATTATTTTGCCACTTGGTAACATTTCAACTTGGTGCCAAAAGCAACTATCTCTTAATAAAATCTACATTATTTTCTTAGAAAATATATAATTGTATACAAAAAAAATGGGATCTCTACTTTATTGAAGCTTAACATGTTTTATAATTCAAACTTTAAGTCCTTCAGCAACATTTTCTTAAGGTAGATGCTTTTTTCATTCTTCAAGTAGCAAAATACTTAAGCTAGGATTTTGCAGGTGTACTTTTTGAAGCAAGAGGTCTTCATCAAGAGGCTTTGAAATCATTTAGGAAAGCATTAGATATTGAGCCCAACCATGTGCAAAGTTTGATATCCACAGCCTGTGTGCTCAGACAACTTGGTGGTCAATCATCTTCAATTGTTAGAAGCCTTCTCACTGATGCACTACGCCTTGACAGAACAAACCCATCTGCTTGGTACAATCTTGGACTCTTCTACAAAACTGATTTGGGGACATCAGCAATGGAAGCCGTTGAATGCTTTGAAGCAGCAGCTTTTCTTGAAGAATCTTCTCCCATTGAACCCTTTAGATAACACTTTCAAGTCAATTTTGTTGACATATATCATAGTAAGTTGTAAGTCTGGTTGTAAAGTTCAGCTCTTTTTACTTCATTTTGATAGGTGAAATGAAATATTAGAAAGAACATAGGCAAATGTCTCTTTTATGTGCCATAATGTAATTAATCAGTTATCTTCCCTTTATGCTGGTTGAAATATGAATGCAGTTTTTGCATCATTTATATCTAGACGGATTCCTCGCAAACTAGGATATTTAATTATTCACTTTAAAATATAGAAATACAATACAGTATAGCTAAAATTATTTCTCAACATAGTAATGTGGAATTAGAAAATTAAAATTCCAATATCTGACACACTGCTTTAAGAGTTCACTAATAAAGTGTGCAATTTAATATTCACCAGTGGTGAATCATAATAAAATTAAGGAAAACTTCATCTTTAGTCTCTATTTTCAATCAAACGTAATCAAGATCTTTTTATTTTCAAATTGATAAATTTATATAATATATATATATAAGATGAATTTCTTTAAAAAAAAAATTAACTAAATATGGTTTCTTAAGTTTAAAGACTAAAATTTGCCCTTAAAAAAGTGCATAAACCCCAAGCAATTTAGATATTATAAAATTCATTTGTTTCTTTAAATTACCTCTTCTAAGTGTATGGAGAGATAATGCAGTAAATGGTTGATTTTTAATTTTCTATTGATCTTCCCTGTTACGAAAGGTTTGAACAAAAAATAACACAAATATCCTGGAAACCCTCCTAGGGCAGATACTGTTTTAAAGCTTTACTTCGCGGAAGGAAGCAAGTCTTACAACGCAGACAATGGGATTCCCACATTTTCAAAACACCAGAATCAACGCATGACTATTCTAAACTAATAGATTTTAAATTTATGGTATTTACTATACTTATATACAGTATATAAACAACATTTCGCACCCGTTGAAATAAAAGCAGAGATATGAAATACAAACATCAAAACCAAATAAGAGATAAATCTAAAGTGCGAAGGGTCTAGGTTTTTTTATAGTAAACAAAAGAAAGTGGGTCCATCTGATACAGACATACATGTTCAACTTACAATCATAGTTACCACTCCCACCAGAAATATAAAATGTCTCCAAAGACTGAAATGGTGCACGTAACGTTCCATAATATATGTACATCACATCACTCTCCCTATCACCAATTGGTCCTCCTTCACTGATTGTTTTCTCGGCGCCGGACATACCTTGTTCTATCATTGTATCTTGGTCTGTCTTGATGCCTTTGTGGTTGTGGTTCCACCCTTCTCTGTCTTTCAGGTGGTCTCTGGACGATTTCTCCATTCACAAATAATTCAGCTGCATCATTGGTAACCAAAAATTTGGTTATTAAACGTAGCCAATGTATTAAGAGAAAACGAGGAGTATTGGTAACAAAAAATAATTAGAAAAACAAGTATTTAAAGCCAAACTTCACGATTGTAATATGAAGGGCTAGAAAGGCCAGGGGAACCATTTTACTATTATTAGTAACCTAAGGGCATTGACCTACTGAATAAAAGCTAAACATTACTCAGTCATTAGCTCCGCCAAGATGGACTGCTATTAAACATTCAACTGCATTTGCATGCACTTGCTTCAGTGTCACTACAAGACATTCCATATACACATGATGATGTTTTCAGTCTACTTATGTATGCAAGTTTACAGCATCATATCATGAACTAACAAATGCAAATGTAATACAAAGAGAAGCAAAATGCCCAAGCGTAGGATAGAGACAAATAACAATTACAAATTGAAGCTGAATAGCCATTAGTATTAACTTATTAACACTAGAATTATTAAAAAGAAATAAGAAAACAGGCACTACTGGCCTGAAAGAAGAGGCATATTAAATGGTTTCATGTATCAACTCCAATGATTCTGAAACTCCATAAGTTTGTGAAGCAACAGAACAGGACAGAAGAGAACTCTATGTGAACATGTGGCAAAGCTAAAAACAACAACGCAGATGCAGATAACTCTTTGTTACATCAAATCAGTGTCAATTCATCTCCACAAAATACAATTAGAATTATAATTATCAATTAGACAAAGAAAACTCTATAAATGTTGGTAAGTAAAATGCTCAACCATAGAATAAAGGCAAACAACAACCAAAAATTGTAGATAAATAACAAACTAAAAAATATAAAAACAAACTAAAAAATATAAAAACAAAAACTCAACCTAATTTATAAAAAATAAAAAGAAAAATCAGCACTACTGATACACTGAACTCAAAGAAGTGGCATATCAGGTGGTATTATATATCAACTCCAATGATTCTGAAACTCCATTTTTTGAAGCAACAGAACAGGATAGAAGAGAACTTTTATGTGAGTCCATTAGCATTCAAAGCTAGCCATTACCCATAGAGTTCTTAGCTTTGCCAAGATGGACTACTGGTAAAGGGAGAAAAATAGTAGCATATCAGGTTGTATTATATATCAACTCCAATGGTTCTGAAACTCCATCAGTTTTTGAAGCGACAGAACTGGATAGAAGAGAATGTTTATGAGTCCATTAGCATTCAATGCTAGCTATTACCCATTGAGAGTTTTTAGCATTACCAAGATGGACTACCGGTAAAGAGAGAAAAGAAGTAGCATATAAGGTGGTATTATATATCAACTCCAATGATTCTGAAACTCCATCAATTTCTGAAGCAACAAAACAGGATAGAAGCGAACTTTTATGTGAGTCCATTAGCATTCAAAGCTAGACATTACCCATTGAGAGTTTTTAGCTTTGCCAAGATGGACTACTGTTAAAGGGAGAAAAGAAGGGTGATACCATCACAAACTTACTGTCAATTAAGCAACTTTTTTAAGCAAATGCAGACAAATTTTTTCACTTCAAATCAGTGCCAGTTCATCTCCAAAAAGTACAGTTAAGCCTTCTAAATACAAAGTAAAAAGAGACAGTAATAACTCTACAAATGCTGATATGTAAAATGCTCAACCATAGGATTAAGGTAAACAACAACCACAGCTTGATGCTAAATAACGCTTACCATTAACAAGTTAATATACACACACACAACAACAAAAACATAACCTAATTTATTAAATAGAAAACTGCACTAATGGGACACTAGCCTCAAAGAAGAGGCATATCAGATGGTATTATGTATCAACTCCAATGATCCTGCAACTCCATCAGTTTATGAAGCAACAGAACAGGATAGAAGCGAGCTTCGATGTGAGTCCATTAGCATTCAAAGCTAGCCATTACCCAATGAGAGTTTTTAGCTTTGCCAAGATGGACTACTGATAAAGGAAGAAAAGAAGGGTACCATCACAAACTTATTTAACATTAATAAATAAAAACTTTTTCAATCACGGCCTCATAATCCTGCATCTCAGAATGCTCAAAAATATTATTTCAACATTTTTAAACAAGATGCAAACACATCAACAGAAACAATACAAAATTTCACAAAAACACATTTCTTAAAGCTAAAAAGATTTTAGCAACACAGACAAGTTTTTTTACTCCAAATATATGACAATCCATGTCCATAATGTACAATTAAGCATTACAAGTTCAAAGATGCCAAATATAGAAATGCTGATAACTTTTACATGTTTCATCACCACTAATCTGCATCTTCACAAAGTATATAAAGCACATAACAGTTTAGAGAGACATTTGATGCATGTCCATCAAACATTATAAGCTAAACCAAGTAGTATGCAGTATAATCTAGCTTTTTCAACATGGACTGACAGTCTAACATTTTTGAGAAATAAAACAATTATATATATATATATATATATATATATATATATA